TTAATAACAAAGTTTGTAATAAATATGAATATGTACGTAGTCAAATATCCATTATATTACCAATATAATCATAACAGTCGTGTCTCGTTATACAGTGTTAATGAAATTTCAAAACGTTTTATTTTACGAATACGACATACATAAAATCTTTTTATGATAAGTGTTCAAATACTTTCGTAAGCTACATTATATAAAATGTCTGGTAATATTTATTAATCTTGTTTGATGCCTTGTTCCTTCGACCAAACTTTCTTTCGACAAAACTTCCAGGAAAACTATATTTCTCATCAACCATGACACTGTTCTCCAATCATCTCTTTTTATACCCTTCCCTCCAACACATCCTTCTACAGTCCATTTCTCGCGATTCATTCGAACAATTCTGTTTCCTGGTTGCATCCTTCGACGTCCAAGTTCTGCACGACTGTCCTCTTGCCATGACACGAGTAACACGTGTTAGACCTCGTAAGGATCTCAGCTCACGTTCACGTGGCCAACGCTCGTGGCCAGGTTTATTAAGTGAATATTGTTCCGACGTCAAATTTCTGGCAAGTTGAACCAACATAACGATCCAAAGACTCACACATTTCCGGCCAATGAGCTCAGAATTAGATCTTATCTTCGCTTATTAAGGGAAATCTAATCAAAGGAAATACTCATTTCGAACGTTTTGATAAAGAAACGTTTGCAACAAACAATTCTCTCGTGGCTCGTTTTAATTTTGCTCGAATTACCTATTGCATTCTCGCGTTAAATTAAACGAGACTAAATGACCCAATTCACGAATTGGAATCGTAAACAGATATATAACGATAAAAAAATAAAATACGATCTTTAGGAAAGAATATAAATACTATGTGAAATAGGATAAAAATGTGTTGGAATAATTTATTTTACCTTTAAAAAAATTCAATTATCATACGTAACGACCGATCTATGGTTGAACAAAACAAAAAATATTTATTTATAAAATATTTATGAACCTTTGTAAAATATTTATGAACATTTGTTTTCCTTTTAAATTCGTAAAAGCGGCAAACGTTGAAAATCCATAGTATATATAGATAATGTTACTCTCAAAACTAGTAAAAATGCATTTGTTGTTTCTATCAAACATCTTCGTCCCTGGCACTTAAATCGTTCGCCATTCCAACTGTTCAATTATTCAGTCGAAGAATAGCAACGGTATAGACAATACGGTTGCTTCAATGGACTTCGGTAATAATGGAGAACTAATACAAAACTAACTAATTATTCAAACAGTGGCATTCAATCGCAGAGAATATGCTAATAAATCCGTAAAATCAAGTTGCGTGTATTATCTTTTCATGATATATACAAATCTCATTGAAAAAAGATTGAGAACTGTCGCCGAAATACATTCATCGTCTCTTTCAGTAAAATTATTTCATTAAGTTTTAAAATTATTAAAAACGAAGTATTCAAATGGAGTTTGGTGCACGTTATGAAAGTTCATGACAAAGAGGAACGTGGCACACGTGGCACATGATTCATCGATGAAATCACAGAGCGAGTGTCGTTCGTTATACGGCTGAATATCGATTAATGAACTGCGCCACACATATTCGGCGTAAATTAAACAGTTTCCTTGATAAATGAATAGGAAATTCAGTGCGCCGATGCGCAGAAATAACTGGCGTGTCGTGCAACGAGACTCGAGCGCTTCCAAATCCGCCATAAGGGGATAAGTTGATTGTTCCCATAGCTGCTCGATAAATAACGCCATCAATGACGTTTAATCGTTCGATATTATTTACTTTCGCTCGTTGTTAACTCGGTGATAGATGTTGTTGCCTTGCGGCTCAATATCCTCGTTCTGCGAATTTGATTGGGACACTTTTTAAACGGAAGAAAAATCTCATGAAATATTTTCATTTGGGCGAAATTATTTTTGTTTAATCCAAATTCGGAAATTTTCGAGCACCAGGTGTGAAAAATAGAAAATCGAGACGTCTGACAGAAAATCGAATTCGTCAGGTTGATCGGTTCACACGGGGGTTCTCGTCATCTACGATTCTAAAATTGAAATGCAAAACGACGCGGCTATTTTTGGAAGTGAACGACAGGATGAATGACCCCTTCGATCAGTCTGTACCTTTTCAATGGCATGAAAATCGTATTGACAGATGCCAGTGAAAGAAAACCGGAAACGCAACGACATCACGTCAGAAATAGGTTGCAGGTCCTCGAACCGGAGAACGTGTGCCATAGAATTCACAAAACTATACAATAGTAGTTTTTTGTATATTAGCCAGGTACTTTTTCTCTTTTCTTCTGCTCTTCCATTATAAAGTTTCTCTTTCTTCGACAAACTTTCGAGAGGAAGTTTCGGGAAAATTCGCTTCGTTCTGTCGAATAGCAGCGATCCTGGAAAACGTGGTAACTTTTTTCAAAATATTTTTCTCCTGCACACATTTTCCACCACTATTTTGTAGACCTTTGTAAATTATCGATTCTTTTTTAATACAATCTAGTACGTTACACTGACTGGCTTTTATCGAGTTAGTTAGTTCTATATGTGTTCCGCATGGTCAAACTATAACCGGGCCCGTGCCACGTTACAATTTTTTCATTGGCTAAACAAATTGCGATCGAACGAAGTTACGCCGAGCGGATGATGACACCGAGCCAGTGATAAGCGAGATATTTTGAAATCTTTGCAAACGAATTTGAAACATGAGGTCTCTCTGTGAAATAAACGAGCAAGAGTGACGTTTGTGTCACAGGTAGAACTACACATTTCATCGTTAACACATAGTACAAAAAATAGCAACAATGGCGTCATATTCAAGTACAGATTTGATCAATGACACTAGTCTAAAGGTAAGGATTTACGGATCGCAATTTGGACAAGATCTTGAAGAAATTAAAGTTCTAAATTCATAAACTTAAAAATAAAACATAAAGTGTAAATATAAAACTGCACAAAGAATCTAAGAACAGAGCAAATATTCGTTCGGAGCATCAATGGGGTAGCGGACGTCTGTGGCCAGACATCCAGTGGTCAACGAGCTCTCAAAAAGACATTCTTGTGCAGCCTCGAAAAAAAGTTGAAAATCAAATTTTACGAATCTCGAAAGATTTTTGATAGCGATATTGCCTTTCCACTGCTCGGTATTTCTTCCACGCGCCTGATTTTTCCTCGAGCAAACACGAAAGTGTTTACCCATAACCTCGACCTCGCCTAGCTCGCGAAGCTCGAGAGAAATTTACAAGGATGATATAACTTTGCAAGTTCTTGTTCACGTTTTCGTTGCTGTCTACAGTGAGGCGTTGCGAGGCGAAGATAAAAGAGCGGATACCTAAAATATAGCACGCGATGCAGAAGATTTGCAACCAAATTTAGAAGAGCCGCAATGAAAGTATAAGTCCCCCTGTTAAAATTTATCTCTGGCTAAAGAATTAAAGATACAAATGGTTCGACGAAACTGCGTATGTTTATGCATATATGCATAATTCAAATGTTCAAAAATGTATAGAATATATTATAAATGCATGTTCACTATATAACCAAAGTACTCGTATAATATTTAGATGGTGAAACAAATTGAAATATGAATTTGCATAAATATTCGTAGGCTAGATATAATGGATCACGCACGAGCTATTTTGTTTGCTAAGTAAAATTAGAAAAGTGAGAAAACAGAAGCTGTGATATTTTTATCTGTCAAAAATATAAATTTTCCGAAACACCTTCTCATAAATCACTTTCCACAGCTCCGAATTACCTGTCACGCTTTATATACCTTAAAAAAATGGAACATAAAATATTAAAATACCAATTTAGTTATGAAATACTTGTACCAGAAAATATAGTACCAATTTATTCGAGATTTATTCAAGTCATCGATGTACCTTCGAAGTGAAGTTGCCCGAAGCATTCGACGAGGCGAAAACAGCCGAAAGATCGGCGTGTTCCTGTTTCCAGGACAGTTGGTACGTGAAAACGGGTTCACGATTTTACACCGGCATGGGCGTAGATGCAAAAGCAATTAACAGACGAATCTGCTGGATGAGTAGCAGGGTGTGGGTTCGCGATATACGATGCTCGTTGTACAGGTCACTTCCGGTCGGTGTACTTTCCAGTACGATTCGGGAAACAAGCGCGTCATATTACGGAAGACTTAGAATCGATCCCTTGTGATTATATAATTCCACGCCGCCTGAAAGAAAAAGATAATCTGTAAAGAAAGGAATTCAAATTCATGAAACTACAATAGATTCGAGTGATGACAAAAGCCAAAAAAGAATAGAGATTAAATTCCCATTGTCTCCCACGAAGTTCGTGGAACCACGAAAACGATAGCTGGTCGAACCGACGAAGAAATTGGGTTACGCTGTTTCGTGAAACTCGAACCACCAGCCTAATAAAAACACTAGTCGGAAGATATAATTGGTCGAAATTTGGTCCGGGAAATTCGGGCGATTCTACGAAAAAACATCTCATAAATTAAGCAGACCGCGATTCCCGGGTGGTAATTAACGGAGAGGATTTCCAAAGTTCTTTCACGTACCCGCATTGTAGACGATGATCGTTCGTGTGCAAAAGCAGAGAGCAGAAGGTACGTTGAAGAGAGACTATTGGTAATTTGCTGGAACATTGAACAACGACACGTTGTCTCATTATCGAGTGATTATGCGCTGGAGAATTGGAGCGGTCGAGTCGCGATCCGACGATTAATTATGCCACACGAAACAAGTCCAAGCTTGGCTATCCATTGTTGCGGAAATGTTTGGTGAAATTCTCATCTAACGAGAATGATGTTTCAATTCAGGAAAATCTAGGTCGCGAGAAATTTGCAGAAAAATTTTGAGAGGTAGAAAATTCTCGATTATAAGATAGAAATTTCTTTGTATAGGAGTTTTCCGTACTTTCTTATGCAATTTCTCAATGGTATCGAGTAAACTTATAGAAGAAAAGCGAATGGAAGAATCATTTCGGCGTGGAATTTAGGGTTACGAACATTTCTGTTCGCAGGCAGGTTTACACGGCCTAACCGGACATATCGAGTTCAACGAAGGGAAGCGTAATAACTTCAAACTCGACCTGCTGAAACTGAAGAAGGAGGAGCTGGTGAAGGTGGGCGAGTGGAAACCCGGATCGGGCGTTAACGTGACCGACGTTGGTGCTTTTTACGAGACCACCGCCACTAATATCACCCTGGTCGTTATGACGAGAGAGGTAATTAGTAGGATGCTCGTGTAAGCGCCTGCCACATTACGTTCCTCATGAAACACTATCCGTACGACATCATCGAATCAATATAGTACTTTGTATCAAACGTGAAGTTTGTAATAAGTTTTATTACATTGTACTATATAATTTCTATCGCCCTCTATTATTTTCTTTCACGTTTCATCAGCCTTTTAGTCCTGTCTTTATAGAATTTTTGTGGTCTGAACGAGACATAATCTTGAAGAACATTATTGGTCCTTACATATTTCTTTTCAATTTTTTAAACAATTCTCCAATGATCTTAAATGGCAATTATATGTTATTAAATATGCAGTTAAGCGTTACCTCGATAAGAAATAACGAAGTTAGCAAGACTGTTTAAACCTGTTTTTCGTCTAAATTAATTATTCAACAGAATAATAATTTTCAAGATGTCGTTTCTCTCAATAATAAATATAACGACGTTAGTATTTACCTTTCGAATATCCTTTCCTACTGGTCAGAAGCAGAAAAGCCTGTTTCCTCGAAAGAAACTAATTTCACTCGGTTCCATGGTCAGAAAGAAATTGTCGCGAAGATACGACGTAGTCCCGCCCTCTCCATTTTCCAAGATGAAAAGGACGAGAAAAGGAGAGAGAAAAGTAGAGTTAGAAGCTTCCATTCGAATCGTTCGAATTAGAACGCCGAATGACACCAAACGCTATACGTTTCATATCGTCGATGCCGGTTCTTATCGTTGAATAAGAATCTTCTTCTTGGATAAAAGAAAGCCGAGTTCCATCCCCTAGCCAAGTTTCGTAGCTGAAATTTTCCTTTTTCCATTTCGCTCTTCCCTTTCGTTTGTCTGTTTATCTTACGACACTCGCGTGCGGGTGATCCATCAAAGGAATCTTATCTTCTCACAGGAAAAACCGTACGTCATGGTAAAGGAAGACAAGAATCTGACGGGAAACGCAAGGTTCGAGGGGTTCTGCATCGACTTGCTGAAATGGATCGCAGGTCAGGTCGGGTTCCAATATGCCATACGACTAGTCCCCGATCATATGTATGGCGTTTACGACCCGAAAACTAAGGAATGGAACGGCATCGTCAGAGAACTCATGGAAAAGGTAAACTTCTCCTCACAGTCGGAAAACACATTATTTCTGTCGTGTCTGTGAATTGTGTTGACGTTATGCGTTTCGTGATCGATATTAAACAGAAACTGTATATGAAGTTGTCAAAATCGTGATTAATCGTGAAATTGGTCTGAAACAACAGTAAAGAGCAGAAAAGCAGAATATGAAGAATATTCTAAAAATTGGAAAACGCAAGTCATAAATTAGAAATTTAAATTTTTGGTTTCGGTATATGCTTGAATTCAACCCTAGAACCACCAAATCTTTCAAAATGACAGATTTTTAATGCTTCTCGCGAAAAGAAAGCTTTCAGACAGACACAAAATATTTAAATACACAGTATACAAACTGATTGTTCGACTGTCAATGCAAAGTTTATTACAGAAGGAGGAAATATCTTATCATGTTTGCTCGAAGCGCGCATTCTGTTACCAAGGTGATTCGATGAAATTGTATGTCTTCGCGAGCAAGGAAAGGAAAAAGTAACAGACGCGGGAGGAAGTGCTGCGGACAATTTTATATGCAAAGTAGCGGCCCGATGCTGTCGTAATAAATCCATCCCGTCTAGACTTTCATTATGCATGCTCGGAGCTTGAGAGGAGCATCTAATTTGGCGTTTTCTAACGGGCAGCCACGTATCGGATATTCCAATTCATAGAGACCATCGCATCGGGCAGATGTTACCAGATGACATCTGAATTGTAAAAGGACACGGTTATTAAGTTAGAATCTCATGTAGCCGACTGCTCTAACAGCCGTCGGATAATTTATAAAGGCATCTAGCCACGGCCGCTACTATCGATCGGTTCGACCAAGGATTTTCCTGGAATATTAATGTCCCATTGCAAAAATTCGTCGAGTTTAATCCACGGCAAAGCTCTCCGTACACACGATATTATACTGAATTATTAAAGATCCAACAGAAATTAATTACATCGCCGTTAGTCGTTCGCTATTGCAACGCAATGCGCTCTATTAAGCTGCTCTTGAATTCCCTGTAATTTCTATTACCTATAATTCCATCCTCTTAACGGTAATATCTAATACAGAATGATTCGATCGAAGCAATACCATATTTCATCCTACGGGCGAGCAAACGAAACTAGGAAGGTCTCGGACCTAAGTAGTATAACCCTGTATTTGGTCTGACATCGACCGAATGACGTACCACACAAAAGACGTAACTTAAGGCGACAGAAACGCTCGTGTACAAGGTTGAAGATATAAAAGCGAGAATGCACGATGAAAGGGGAGAAAAAGCTGAGTATTTTCTGTGGTGGGAAGATAAGCGTCGCGCCTTGGGGCGCCAAGGTTACGGATGGCTCGTGGCCGTATTTCGTACGTCTAACCGCAACTGCGATACAAATGGACGGTGGATTTCGAAGATTGCCGGTTCATAAAAGATGCAGGGCAATCTGTACACGATGAAAGCGCCTGCCGCCTTAACCTAGAAACCGGCGGGTCTGTAAGTAGATCGTCTTGAAGGAAGGACGTCATCGCCGGTAACCTCACTGTACCAGGTTCTGGTCTGCTTATAAAAGATGCATTCGCTATTTTGCAAGGCAAACGTTTGCCTAGGTGAACATTTGCCAGGCGAGTCTTTGTCGATGATTTTCGTCGAACGACAAACAACGCCCGCGCTTTCCCTCTTTTTACTGCTGCTAAAAAATATTATGCCGAGGATGATACATATAAGAATCTTCGTTTTGAGTTGTAGTCACAGACAATACCGATGAGGTATCGTTCAATGAATTTTAATTTCGAGTATTTTCCATTTGAACTTTCGGACGGGTCGTGTTCGACGAAACGTGTAGAACTAGACAGAGAACTCTCCGTTTTCATGCGAGAAATTTCCCTTTTGCCCACAGAGAGCGGACCTGGCTGTTGCGTCTATGACGATCAATTACGCTCGGGAGAGCGTGATAGATTTCACCAAGCCGTTCATGAATCTCGGTATCGGAATTCTGTTTAAGGTGAGTCGCTGTTATCGTTCGTGTATTCGATGATGATGAACTAACTTGTAACTTCCATTCACGATGCAATGTAGTATACATATACCAATCTTCGAGAATCTCGATCTCGTACGGACCACTCAGGATCCAAACTGATCAATTGCTGACCCGTAAGCATCTTAATTTCACTAACTATATACAAGATCGGCGTTTCCAAGGAAAATTTACAAAAACAGTATTTCTATCACCACTTTGCCATACTTTTCAATTTATATAATTGATCGATATGGCTTTTGAGCAGCTCATAAGTATATCACGCCTTGCAAAGATTCACAAAAATCTTGAAAATTATATTTTCTCTATGAACAATTCCATACGATTCCAAGCGATACGAATCATCGTGAAACTCTTTTGCACTCTTCGTACGGCATTGGATTGAGTCGTGATAGAGACGAGATTCTCGATGAAATCGATTCGCCAGCGTAGAACGTTGCTGAGAAAAAGGCCC